TCTAACTAAAAATAATTTACAAAATTTGAAAAAAATATCATGGTTATAACAAGCTCAGAAAGAATCAAAATAGTTTGAACATTTTACCATGTATGTAAAATACTAATATTTGTTGAAGATTTCAATAATCTATAGTTATTCATTTTGGAAGTACAAAAGCTCTCAAAACTCTAATGTTCAATTTAAGTAAATTTTTTTTTTGTTATGAATAGAAAAACTTATGTGAAATCTTCTATTAAAATTTATTATTTTAGCTATGAAAAGTAAAACTTTCAGAGTTTCTAACCGAAAAATAGTATATAAAATTTAAAAAATTTCTTATGGATATTAATAGCTCAAAAAGAGTCAAAATTCTTTGAAAATATTACCATATTAGGTGAAAATTATAAGTATCTAGGATTATTCGTTTTTTTCATAACTTAAAGTACCTATATTATTATAATTTGATGCCAGCCGGTCTGCACCCTTCAAGGGACAAAAAAGAGTGCGTTACTGCGTTATAAATATATTTAGCTATAGCATATAAGATTAGTCTAATTATGTTTTAAAATTTAAACTACATCGCATGAATAGTACATTATACTCGAAACCAGAGCCGTGTCAAGCAATTCAGCGCCCCGGGGCAATTCGAGCCCTTTCCCTACAATTTGGGCTCCAAGTAGCATACCTATTAAGCTCAAATAACGACGCCCCTATTACTTTTACAAAACTATGGCGCCCGGGGGCAATTTCCCCCTTTGCCACCCCCTTAACACGGCTCTGCTCGAAACACGTAATGGTGAAAATTTTCAATTTATAATCGAAATTTTAGATTCTCAGTGGACTAGCGGACCAATGAATGTAGGTATATTGATTTCAAAATTCAAAATGATGTTGTTTTTTTGTGTCCGTCATCACCGTTTGTGATAGTAAAAATGCTTTGATTTTTAATAACCGTAGGTACTAGAAATGTTCAAAAAATGTTTATTTTATAATTTTCTATATAGGTGATAAAATATTCAAAATATTTCGACTTCTTTTGAGTTGTTTATAAACATTTGAAATTTGAAATTTTTTAGTTTTTATTCTATAAAATATAAATGTCAATACCTACAATTGTATTCATTGGGTCAAAAATCTTGAAAATGGAATATGTAGGTACATGGTTTCTCATAAATATTTATAATGCTAGTCGGTAAATATTAAAAATCCATAAGCACAATATTATTTATAAATAGAAATTTAAAGTTCAATTTTTTAAAAAATCTAGAAAATTTTAAAATTGTTTTACGTAGTGAGGAAATTTTAAAATTTAAAATTTTTATAGCTAAGGATTGAAATTTAAAACAAAGATTATCATAAATAGTTCATACTGTAACCAACAAATCTAAAATATATATAAACACCGTTATATGTTATAAACATTTTAAGTTCAAATTTGGACGAAAATGATAGGTATTATTAAAACCTAAAATAACAGTGACCCACGTGTAACCAACTGTACAGCAGAGCGAACCTACTTTTTAACAATTTAAATTGTTTTGAAACCAATACATTCATAAAGCTGTGCTCTAAAATATTATGCAGTATAATAGTTATATTATATATTAATTATATCTCTAATATAGAATATAATAGAAAAATATTTAATATGTTATGAATTATAAAAAGTAAAAACAGTCATAGATAATTGGGACAATAATTACTGTATAGCACCCAGTGGCGCGAATGCCCAGGTGCAGGCCCGCATATCAAATGTTGTTTTTCTTTTAGATCATAGGATCATACCTATTTCATTTTTAATGAATATATTCAGTGTTTTTTTTATTTTTAAAGTATCAACATCTAAGCTAAAGTAATTTTACAATGGGAAATATAATGTAGGTAGTCTGGAATATATTATAAAATATAAGGTGATAAAAATAACTTAATATTTTATAATATCAAAACCAACATGTTCATATTGATAAAAGGGAGGGATAGAGATCTATTAATTTAATCTGATTTATCAGGGCCATATTAATATGGATTATTATATTTACATCTAAAAAAGGGTTCATTCAGTCTTTTTTTCAGATGCCATCATACATATAATGCAATAGCAGTAATTCCTAGACTAATTACTGTAAAATATAATGGATTTGTATAAAGATATAGTTTTTGAAGTATTATTAGTTTCAATGAGTAAGATATTACATTTTTTAATTTTTGTTTATAATAATTTTAAAATGAATAAACCTATTTAGTATTTAATCATGATGATTTTTAATAATACAGTTTATTATGGCGTACGTCATTTTTATGTTTAATTTTTTTTTTAATAGTTGGGTTATTGGTTATGGTAACATCGTCTCTTGAACCTATTTCGAAAGGGTTTTTTTGCGATGACGAGACAATTAAATATCCATATAAAACATCAACTGTTGGAAAAACTTTCTTATGTCTGTTTTATCTTCTTCTACCAAATATTTCGGTGAATATGTTATACATTTTTTACAAAATATTTAAATAATTTTAATTTATTCATTATTTTTTAAGCTATTGAATGTTTAGTCTTAAAATAATATTAATTGGTAGTTATTATAATTTAATTTATGTAGTTAAAACCATTCACATTAAACTTTACTTAAAATATATGTCAATAGAATTATTTTTATTTTTACTTAAGAGGACGCCACGCCCGCATGTATTATATCTGTCTTAAAAGTGCGAAACATAGCAAATTTAAGCTCAACGGATCACGTTTAGCTCCGTTAGTTTCAAAATTAGAAGGAATCGACCTATTATGAAACTTTATGGTATGGTATGGATAATATTTATGTTTCGTGTGTTGGTTTTTTACGATTATTCAGTTTTTAAGTGAGTTATGTGCATTTTTATTTTAAGCTATATTATATACCTACCCGTTAATTGCTAATAGCATAGCTAGCATAATTTGCTATGTTACGAGTTACGACCTCTTAAGACCTGCATTCGTCGGTCTCCATCTTACAAATGCACAACATAGCAAAAACTGTTTCTCTCTGTATTTAAAGTAGAATTACCAAAATTCCACAACGCATAGGGAAGAACTTTATAGTCGTAGCGTTTTATTACTTGAATAACATAAATACTAATAAAGTTAACAGTTTGAGAACATAAGTTTTGTTTTTGTTTTATACTATTAAAAATTATTGGTAAGTGCTATCAAAAAAACAAAAACGCTACGAAACAGATAAAGTTATTTCTTATGTGTTATGGAATTTAAGTAATTCTACTATAAATACAGAGAAGCATAGTTTTCCCTCGCTAAACAGTTTTTGCTATGTTGTACATTTGTAAGAGGGATATAACGCATGTGGGCATAGCGTCCACTTAATGAAATATATTTTTTAATTGGATGTTTCTACATTATAGTATTAAACTCAAGCCTGGTCAAAAACTAATTAAAAAGTTAAAGTTAAGTTAATTTAAACTTTTTTCACTTAACTTTTAAAATTTTCATTTTCATTAACTTAACTGATTTTTATTGATATAAGCTTATTAAATAACGAGGTACTTTTAACCAAATCCAAGTTATGATAATTTATAAATAATTAAATAATAAATATAAGTAATACAATTATTATTGATGATACATGTTGCATAAACATTTACTTATTAGTTATTATTATTTTAAACCATATTACTAGCTACTTAAAAATTTAAAAAATAAATAAATAACTTAACTTAAATTAATAAGTTAATTGTAAGTTTCCATATAACTGTTAACTTAACAGAGTTAAAAAAAAATTAGGATAGCTAACTATCACCTTTTAAAATATTTTCTGTCAACTTAACTTAACTCAATTACAAATAATCATTAACTTTCCCAGGCTTGATTAAACTACATTACTTCAATAATTGTTTTAAAATAATTATTTTATTTATTTTTATTCTTAGTTCTATGGTACAATTTAATAAAAATATTACCTGTTCTTCCCATTAAATGGCGTTAGAATAAAACAATACAATCAATTTAGTATAAACATTTTAATCATGTCAAATATTAATATACCTATTATACAATATACATTACATAATATATACATATTCTATATTTTGTTTAGTACTTTAACATAGTTATTTTATATTTATGAGTATTTTTGAATTTTAGATAAGTTTGAAGTATTACTGGACTATGCATAAAAACATAAAAAGCCTATATGTAAATATAATTTATTTTTGGTTGGGTGCTGGATTAGCCCAAATTACAGTAAATCTGGGAAAATATTATACTGGGCGTTTAAGACCTCACTTTTTTCATGTGTGTAAACCAAGTATTGATTGTACATCACAAAATCAATTCATTTCAGAATACACATGCACAAATTCAGAAGTATCTTTATCAAATGATTCAAGGTAAATTATTTGAACAGTCTAAGAAAATTAATTATTTCACACTGTACCTATAACAAATAAATATGTTAATAACTACATCATTTTATTGCATATATACAATTATTTCAGGGCATCTTTTCCATCAGGCCATGCATGTTTAGCGTTCTATTCAACAGTATACACAATTGTAAGTTATAAGTAATTAAAGGGCATATAATGGGTAAAATAACTTAAATAACATAATAGTTGTAACAACTAACAAAGAAATATATTATTTGCTTATGTTTAAAAGTTGTACCTACACAATTATAAGAAGAGTGTAGCATGGGTTATTATTCAATTTGCATTATTTATATCTGCATGGTATACATCTTTAACTAGAGTCACTGATAACATGCATCACTGTACTGATGTATTAGCTGGTTCAATTATTGGTACATCATTTGCTATTTTAATGGTAAATAATATATATTATATTATTAATTATTATAAATTATAAAAGTATTTACTCAAAGTAAAAAATTAATCAAACAAGTTTTATTTTAAATAGATGTATGAAGTGAAGACACGGATATCTCTAGAAAACGTTAATGCAGACTGACATGAAAATAGTTCAATATAATATTTTTCTCATATGTTTACAGCACCAATTTTAAATATTATTAATATGTATTGAGTATTCTGTCATTGTCGAGTTGAGCTAATTGCTTAAGAAATCCATTGTTAGGTCGTATGTCTCTTGCTTTTTTTACTTTTTCCACTGCTTCCTTAGCTCTTAATCCTTTTTTTATCATTAAATAAGCAATTGTAATTGTTGCAGATCTTGAAATACCCATTATGCAATGAACCAAAACTTTACCTACAAATATGAATACAATATGGGTTTTTACCTAATTTAGTTAAAACTAATCTAATATTTAAAATTAAATTTTACTAATAATTAGTAAAAACTAACCTTTTTGTGATAGAGCGTCATCTATAAAATTTGATACGCTTTCAAAATATTCATTTATTGCAACATTAGAATCATCACACAAAGGTAGTCCCATGTATTGAATATTAAATGGACGATAAAACTGTTCATTTGTATCAACCATACCAAACCCAATGCCTTGGGCTGCATTTACTACATGTGTAATACCCAGTGACAGCAATAAATTAAGATTTTTTGCCGTGTTCCTATAAGAAAAATACGAAGACTTAACATGTTGAAATAGGTACTTCATTATGTATTTACACTTACCAATCTCCAACATAAATTTTTGGACAAATTTCATTATAATCACATGCTGATATATTTTTTTTTTTAGGAGGAGGTTGGGTACGTAAAAGAACAGCTTGTAGGTCCTCAAAAGTAACTTCTTTTATTGGATCTTTTTTACGAAACTTTGCTAGTAAATATTCCATTTTTGACAATAAAATATTCTATAATACAATGGTTTAATCAATTGATAATAGAAATTACCTATAAAATAAAATAAAAACTATCCATAAAAATGAAAAATGATTTATTTTATATACATTTATAACATTGATTATTTATGTGTATTCCTTTCCATATATCTGTACGTCAAGAATTAATTGTAAAATATCATAATCATAAAAAAATAACTTATTTTGGAGTAATATATAGAGATATCAAGTTGGTAAATAATTATCTATTGTTAAATTGAATAGTTTATTTTATATTCTATAGACTATGGAGCTATATTTTTTAATAATTAATTTGCTTTTCAACAAGTTGAACCACTAATCAGTGCTTAAATATTATTATGGTACAAACACATTTTATAGTTTATAGGTACAGAGATAATTTTTAATCCAGACGATTATATTAAGATACCAAATAATGTGCAACTATTCTACGTTTATTTATTTATTTATTGTATGGTTTAATCCAACACTAACAGTACTTATTAAATTATTATTCTATGTTAAAAAAATGTACTATAATTTATAAATGAAGTATATAACCAAAACTAAAAAAAAATTAAACGTTATTACCTGTACATAATTTTTTGAAAGTAGTTATTTGATTTCAGTTTGAAGTTTTAGTCTTTGAACCAAAAATTGATTCATACAACAAAAAAATTGAGGTAACATTAATAAGTTGATGTAACAACAGTAATTTATTTTATATTTGCTTTATTTATTTAAGCCATCATCAAAATCAATTATTTTATTTTAAATTAAATCTATCCTATAAGATTATCCAAGTATAATATATTATATATATACATATATACAGGGTGATTCACCTAACATGCTCAACCCTATTTTTTCCTTAAAAATTATTCAAATTCTAATTTATGGAATTTTTTCATATACTCAGAAGATATATTTTAATTCTTGTAGTTTTTTGTACTATTTGAGGAGTGTCATGCGGCGACACAAATTGTTGTTTTTTTCAAATGACCACCTTTTCAACTGTAAATTATTTACTTGTTCATTAATCTGTAAATTTCGATTTATCAGAATCAAAATTTGAACTAGTAGTTTTTGAGTAATTTAACCAAGGTTTATATGGTTATGATTAAATTATTATTAACCCATAGGTTTGGAAAATATGGGGGCTACGGGCTATAGTAATTTTAGAATGTTTGTGAATAATATTATACTATCGACATAAGCAATTTCTAAAAATGGTCCAAGTATAATAAATACTAGATCCAATATTACATGTTTTATATTTAAGTAAACCACTTTTAAGGACCATTTTCCTTAGAATAACATTTTAATAACTGAGAAACTATTCCTCCAAATTTTGAATTAAGTACATCAACATTTTCAAAACAATGCTCAGCTAAATAATTTACAGTAAAAAAAGAGGGTTCTCTTTGAAAAAACAGAAGTTGTATCGCCACAGGACACTCATTAAAAGAACAAAAAAAAAAAATAAGAATTTGAAAAGTAGTTGAGTATAATATTTAATAACTAAGAATCAGAATTTAATTATTTAATTATTAATGGAAAAAATTAGGGTGAGCATCCTTAGTGAATCATTTTGTAGTCTGTATTTATGTACAAAATAAAATATATGACAAGACGTATGAAATAACATCATTATATTATTAAATATTAGCTTGAAAAAATTGTTTTATTATGATTGGCAGTTAAGATTATATTCAAATTATTTATTATTAAAAACAATTTCTTATATTAAAGATAATTAAAAATTGTATTAAATTACATTCATCGAGAGCCTGAAAACTATACATTTTTGATCAGCTTTTTGAATCAAGTTTATAACATCATTAATTAAATGTATGTACATTTAAAAAGTTTAATCTATGAAAAACTAGTAAGAAGATACAAATTACCTATACATTAACTTACTTTTATTTTGGATTAACCACTTAAATGTATACATTAGGTACTAATTACTCGATCATATATCTTACATAAGCGATAACTATTAATTAAAAACATAATTATTGTAAATCAAGCATTATAATTATAGTAAATAGCTTCTTCTAGAAAGATTTGATATATATCATAATTATACATCAAGACTCTCAAGTTCTTCTGGAATGGGCTATTATTTTATTTAAAAAGGTTGATATTAAAAACAAAATGTAAGATACCTACTCTGTAAATTGTTTGTTTATAACTCGTAACAATAACATGGTGAATTTTGAACTGAACAATTTTTTTAATGTTGAAATATTCCTTTGATTGTATTAACATGCAAACGTTTTAAATTATACCTACCATAATTGACGATAATTAATGTGGATATTTTTACGACATTGATCATATGTACAACTGGTACGGGTTATTAAAATCTGCGGACAGCCGGGTATCAGATATGGTTGTCTATAATGGATTATGTAGGTGTTTATTATATATGGGGATACATAGAGAGTCAAGTTGTTTTGTTTTTAATTAACGTAACTTCTGAGCGGCACGTCGAACCACGGAATGAATACCTATGTCGTGTAGAGCTCTCTGTAACAAATTATCGCGCACGTTAAAATTTTAAATTAACGTTGTTTGATATTATAATTAAATTGTTATTATCCTCGTTCCGAAAAATAAAAACAATAAAGCAAAAAAGTGAACGGGCCTCAAGCAGCAGCGGTAGCCGCACTGCCACAGCCTACAGTAAAGTATTGCACTTGGGAGATCGTTTGCCTTGGACAGTTGGACCTATACGATTTAGCAATCACGCAATCTGCAGTCAGCCCACGAGTTCGTGTTGGATAAAAAAAAACAAAAAATTATGATATTAGCCACGATTTAAGAGAGTTGTATACAATTATAGTACTATCAGACTATCTATAGTTCTATCATAGAACAAAATATTACTATATTATTGTTTACTATGTTTATTAACAATGGGACTATCTTGACTATCTTGACTATCTAAATCGTGATAGAAATAAATCACATTGTTATCTACTTACCATTTACACAGAATAGAATAATACCATTTACCACGGTTAGTTAATTCTGCAATAGAATAGTTCACGATACTGAACGAACATGTGATAAGTGAAGCCCGAACCTTCTCACTGTTTGGAATGACAATTAGCGCCTTACAGGATGATTCTGTGTTAACCGGGGGAATAATGAACTATTGTCATTTAGTTCCTTATTCTCCCAGCTAACACGAAACAATCCTATAAAGCGCTAGTTGTCATGCCAAACAGTGATAATCGTGCGGACTCAGAAAAACATTGATAAGACCTTTCCGTTCCGTATCCTCTATATAATCTCGTGGAAACCTATTCTGTATCTGTAGTATCTCTTTGGTGGTACCATAGGGTAAATATAAGTAATAACTAATATTTGTATGGTTACATATACTCCCACACACGTCGTAGGATATATGCTATACGCATGTACTTACTAATTATTATGAGCCTATATAGCATGTGCGTAGGTGTGCGTTTTAAGAGAACATGAGGACGTTTTAGCGAATACCGATACGGCGACGAGTGACGATGATATGCCGTCCTACGGATGATGATTATTGAAAATTATTGTAGGACGTACCTATTTACCAAGAATAAGAAATCCAGTATAAGATGTGAAGTACCTATTATTTCTTTTATTAGTTATAAAAAAAAAAAATTTTATAATGTTAGGTAGTATTTAATCACAGGATTATGAGTGTAATAATTCTAGTCATGACTGCAGTGATACAATTACAATCGTAGTAATAATGAATATTTTATCGTTAAATTATAATTAAATTAAATCAAAATATATTAAAACAAAAAAGATACAACACAATGTGTTTGGTGCTCAAGTACGTGTTTATACTATTATGGCTTATGTACACTTTCGCCTCAATTATACTTCTATTCAGCAAGGGACTATTACTGCACAGAGATGTGTTGCCCAACAAGTCCATCTGTGAAACCGATGTCAATTCTCTTCAAGAGTTGACACAGAACTGCACAAAAACCAATACAAAAGTGGTGATGTTAATTATTGATGCCTTGCGCCATGATTTTGTCTTTCATTCTGAACAGGACATGCCGTATACGAACAAGATTACAGTGTTCAGGGACATATTGGCCAGTTATCCAAAACAGTCAAGATTATACAAGTTTATAGCTGATCCCCCGACCACGACTATGCAAAGATTAACAGCTCTCACTACTGGAAGTTTGCCTACTTTTATAGATGTTGGTTCAAATTTTGCAACTGAAGAATTGCTGGAAGATAATGTTATTGATCAGTTAGTGAATAATGGAAAAAAAGTTGTATTCATGGGAGATGATACATGGGCAAATTTGTTTCCAAAAAGATTTTACAGAAATTATACATATCCAAGTTTTAATGTTTGGGATTTGGATACTGTTGATGAAGGAATCAAAAAAAACTTATATCCTGAAATTGTAAAAGACGATTGGGACGTGTTAATTGCTCATTTTTTAGGAGTTGACCATTGTGGTCATAGATATGGACCAAATCACAAAGAAATGGAAAGGAAGCTTAATGAGATAAATGTAGTTTTGAGGTGAGAAGTTTTCTTAAATCTAATTGATTACTCTATTTATTACTGCTTACCAAGCTTGGATATATCAATATATTTCTTTAAATTTCAGAGACATATTAAAAGAAATTCTTGGTCGTGAAAATATCATGCTTTTTGTATTTGGTGATCATGGAATGACATCAAATGGTATGTAAATATATAATTTTTCCATCAAAATAAGTATTAATTAATGTTTATGAAAATTACTGTGTATTTTAGGTGATCATGGGGGAGAATCTGAAAATGAATTAACATCTGCACTTTTCGTATTGTCATCATCTCAAGAATTACAACCAAAAACAGAAAGTGATATAAAACAAGTTGACTTAGTACCTACTATATCAACATTAATGGGTGTTCCTATTCCATTCTCAAATATTGGCTCTCTTATTAAATCAGCTTTACCACAAAACTTTCATTTAGTCAATAGTATTTGGAGAAATGCTAAACAGATTAATGATTATCTTACAACTTACTCGTTACAGAATGATGAACTTAATGATAAGCATATACATTTTATTAAAGATACATTCAAAATGTTAGATATTCAACATAACACATTTGTGAAAAGTTGTGAAAATTTTATGCAATTAAGTAGAAGAGCGTGTGAAGAAGTTTGGATACGTTTTGATGAAAGTTCTATTTATAAAGGTTTAGTCCTAATGTTTGTATCTTTATATTTCAGTTTCTTACTTGTTGGCTCATCTGCTTTAGACCATTATGATAAAATCACTGGAAAGCAAGTGCTCATTATGTTTTCCATAGTTGTTCCATTGAATTTAATCGCATTTCTATTTTATTTGTATAAGATAATTCATATAACTGTCGTATTTTTTGTTACTGGGTTTATAGGTACTATTTTCCTTGCTATATTTTGTGTAGCTTGTTGGTCGTCATTAACACAAGATTTTCTTAATACCAATAAACCTGATAAAATATTGATACGTATATTTACTGTATTAACTACTCTTGGATTTTTTTCTAATAGTTACATCATTGAAGAATCGTATGTATTGCATACATCATTTGTTCTTTTACTATGGTATCTAGTTGTCAGATTTAAATTAGAAAATAGGAAAACATGGTTTCGTAATAAAATAAAACCTAAAAACTTTTCACTTAAACATTGGATCACATCATTAAACTGCAAAGTTGTATGGTGTTCAATTCTGTTGTGTATTATATTGCGTTACTCTCATTCATTTTGGAAATGCCGTGAAGAACAAGGATGGTGTTTTGAAGATGGAGCTCAAACCAAAACCGGAAATTCAATCATTTCCATAGTTCTTATAGTAATTTCTGTTACTGTTGTACATAAGTCATTGAAATGTTCTGGAAACCTAACTGGATGTTCTTTAAATGTTTATTTGTCTTCAATTTTGCCAAGAATATTTGCTGTACTGTTGTCTGTTCATTGGATATTTGATTCTTCATTTCAACGTGTGAAGCATACCATACCTTATGTAGCGTACATACCAAATGTTATTATATTATTAACTGTAATACTAATGATGACATTATTTGTAAGCCCATTACTTGTACACTATGTGGACTTACAAGAAGGTAAAGCTAATAATCAATCAGAGAAGTTTTTAACCAATTGGTTCTCAGAATAGCAAAAAATATTGTGAAAATGCAGTTAGGTCCACATATTCAAGGTTATCCTATAGTATATGGACTTGCCACAGTTTACAGTGCAACATTTCTGAGTATTTCAATATTGTTTGTATTTTTGGAGGATGCTATTGGATATGTTTATGCAGTGTCAGTAGTAATTATGATTATTTCCATCTGGATAATGGCCATGATTGTTTCAGTCATAAGACATAATCAATGTACCAAAATCAGTTAGTATTTATGTGTAATTTTTTGCAGATTGTTCATTATGCATCTATAATATTTCTATATAAACTTTTAATTTACCAATTCACAATGAAAATTAAATTTACTTACTACATAATAGCATATGAACATTTTGTAGGTACATATTTTATGATATATAGTATATAACTGTACAAACAATTTTTAATTATTTTTATAGATGAATTATATACTGTAAGTTGGTTGTATATTTTGCTGTGGACTCTATCATCATCATACTGGTTCTATGGTACTGGACATAATCCTTCATTTCCTGCAATACATTGGAATGCTGCATTTGTGTTACAATCAAATGTAGAAAACAATACATGGCTTCCTGGTTTTTTTATTTTAGCAAACACATTTTTTTCACACGCTGTTCATGCATTTTTATTACCGGTAATTTATAGAAAAAATAATATTAGTTTTTTTTTATTTATATTCATTTATGTGGTTTATTTTTGTGTGCGTGCGTACACAATAGTAGTTGAAATAATTCTTCGATAGGAAAGTGAATCTAATTGGTCCATTCCAAGAATCAAAATTTAAAATTCCCAGTGAATCCAAAAGCGCCATGAAAAACAAATAAGAAAACTAAGAAAAACTGGAATATTTACGATAATAAATAGATTTTGGTTTTTGGTGTAACTAAAACAGACTACCGTAATGATACATGCAATTTTCACTGACTGTTTATATTGGCATTTTCTATACACCTTACAGTTTTCAAAATATTTTGACTTATTTTACGGACATTTTCAGTTTCCTATTTCTTTAGTTTTTTTTTCTATAATTTTCAATAAAATTTTATTTGTTGAGTCAAAAAGGTTAAAAATTGAATGCAAGGCTCCTAATTTATTGTTACAATGACAGTTGAAAAATATTAATAATACAGTCACAATTTTTTTTATAATCTTATAATAATATGTAAGAATCACAAAAATTTACAAATTATTTAGTTAGAAATTCATAAAAAATGTTCTTATTAAATATAAGATTTTAAAATTGAATACAATACTCCTCATTAGTTTTTATACCTTTATCAAAAAAAAAAAAAAGGTCAACTGGAAAGTCAAATTAAATTTTTATGAACTTTTGTAGTTCAAATTTTTACATCATTGATTATTATTAAATACTCGATTTTTCGTGTAACGATTTTCTTATTTTTTTATTTTTCTTATTTTTTAATTTATTTATAATAATATTTTTGATTATAGCTACTATTAATATGTCCATTTGCTATTCATGGTGCTTGGTCGGGAAAATCATTGCCTCCCAAAGATGAAGATGAACAAACAATGGCTAGAGGCGAATTATTATTAGCTGAAAAATCAAGACAAATGATACACGGCTCATTTGATTTAACTGCTAAATATATTCTCGCTAATTGTTTTAGGGTAATTATTAAATAAATATTACCTAGGTACTTTACTTGATTACCTACATAATTTAATTATTCTTTTTTTCAATATTAGGTGGCTATGGTCATGGCAGCAGCTACTATTCATTCACGTCATTTGATGATGTGGAAAATTTTTGCTCCAAAATTGATATTTGAAGGAATAGCATTATTTATTACATTGCCTTTTTCTTTTTTTGGATTTATTCTTATGTATCGTGTAACTCAACACATAAATGTGTTATTTGAAAGAATTATGACACAACACTCAAATTAATTTTTTTTTACATTCAATGACTGTAATATCTAGTTAAATTAAAATTATGTTTTTAACTTTAGTTTAAAGTTAAAATAACTCAAATATTTTAAGTAATCTTTTTTAATAATTCTAGATTCATTCACATGTATATTATAAACTTTTTTTAAAAAAATACTAAAAGTAAATTAGAAATATCATAATCTTACATAATATCTTAGTACTGCTGTTCATATAGTTGGTACCATTTAATTATAGAGCTTGACCAGTTTATCACATTTCACGTGTTTAATTTTGTTTTGACGTTTTGTATTAATTTTTACGTTTTATTTAGTTTTAATATGTAAGCCATGACTGATTGTAAGTAGATATAATTAAAATCATTCTTTGAGTAGTTATATGTATGCATTGTTTTTTTATACATTTATAAGATTGACACTAAATGCAATTCTACTGGGTGTATCTTATGTTATTGTACGCTGGGTTTTTTAACGATTATGGAACGATGATATGGAATTTTGTTAATACTAAAAAAGATTTGATTCTTTATTTTTAACGGGCAATTTTTTTATAACAATTTAAAAATTTTTACACACGCAGGTGTACCAATAGCAAATCAACTTTTTTTCAAATAGGAACCACTATATTTTTTAATGGATTCTTATAAAGCTTTTTTGTCTGAAAATTTCGATAGTCGAATCATCAATTTTGGCTCTCTAGTTTATTAACTATGGTTCTTTAAAGATTAGTAAAATATACATTAATACTTTCAATTGAAAAAGTTGGTAAGGTTTAATTTACAAGCACTAAACAATTTTTTCTAATAACTACTTCCTTTTGATACACTTCAATAATTGAATCAGTAATCAGAAAACAAAACAGACAAAATTGATGGTAAACATAGTTCATTATTTTTAGGGTTCCGTACGGTAAAACAGGACCCTATTACTAAGGCCCGCTGTCTGTCAGTCTGTCACCAGGCTGAATCTCACGAACAATTAAAGTTAGAAAGTTGAAATTTTTACAGATTATGTGTTTCTATTAAAATAATAACAAATACTAAAAATCTTAGAAGATATAATATAAGCAGTGTTGCCAACATGTTTATAGCTAATGATGGTACGGAACCCTTTGGGCGCGAGTCCGACTCGCACTTGGCGGTTTTTTTATTTTAACATACGATCATAAAAATCAATATTATTATTTTAATTTATTATTATAATCTTAATTAATTACGTTACATTTTTTTCATCACTGTTACTTTTCTTACAATATCATAAATTTGAATTCTTTATTAGGTAGGTGGTTAAGGACTTAAGGTAATAATGGTAAATTGGTAAATTGTATTCGATAGTCGATATTAATATACCTAATATTTAGGTAGGTACCTTTAATCTGAGTGAATTACAGATTTTTATAATAATCAAATACCATTATTACCTTAGCCACCTAATTAAGTATTCAAATTTAGGAAGCAAAGTAACGGTAATCAATTAATTATGATTATAATAATAATTATTACAATAATAGTAGGTACCTACTACTTATTTTATGATTGTATGATATTCTAAATTAACTATTAAAAGTACAAAATAAAATGTTGTGTTTGTAAATATCCAAAACTAAAAATGATGGAAAAGGGTGAATTCCAACTCCTACTTTGCATGCGATACCATAATAGAGAATCTATGGTTAAAATTTAAAGTTTATACCTCTACGAAAAGAGCACCACAAAGTATTACACTTTTTCGTTGCACATATTAATGTCAACAATAGAATACCATTTACCAATTTACCATTATTACCTTAGACATCTACCTAATTAAGAATTCAAATTTATGATATTGTAAGAAAAGTAAAGGTGATGAAAAAAATGTAACGTAATTAATTACTATTATAATAATAAATTAAAATAATAATATTGATTTTTATGATCGTATGTTAAAACAAAAATAATGAACTATGTTTGCCAACAATTAGTCCAGTCAAGGAATGAGGTGTAGAGTGCGTGAGCAGGTAACTTAGCGATTCCTTCAGAAACTTGTCCGGGGGGCTTAGGGTATTAACATACTAAAAGTCCTGACACCTAGGTGGTGAGCCGGAGGGGGGTTAAAGTTGCGCTTTTTGGGTTTTTTGCTTATATCTCGTAAACGGTGCATCGGAGGAAAATTTTTTTAAATAACAAAATAAAGCTCATGAAATTATCTAAAACTTTTATATCATATGTTTTTTTCGAATTCACAACCGTTTTCGAGCTACACCTTCGAAAAAAGTAGAATATTACAAAAAAAACCATTTACCTCCCTATATTCATAAAACAATCCATCATATTGTCTAAACCTATTCATAAACTAAAAATATGCATAGAAAAGAAGTTGTAGATATTTAAATTCACTTTCAGAATATATACACATATATTAATTGTTAATCTCCAAGCTGCCTAAATTTATAGCTATTTTACAACTTTCATAACATTTTGCAATTTTCAGAAAATGTATATATCATATTCTTGACCCACAACCTTTGTTCGTTTATGTAATAATATATGTGGCCACACTTTTAAGAAGTTAAACAGACAAAAATAATGATAATACACACTTTATTTTACAGATAAGTAGTTCTCAAGTAATTCTTAATTTTACATGCAATCATATTTTCATTTTCTTTGAATTTGAGGGCCCAGGTTGTTCATCCATTGCATCTTTGTCTGTAGTAATGGGTGCCTCTTGCTCTTCATCGTCCTCATCTTCAACAGGCAAGCTGTTCATGCATTTACCTTGGCAGTGGAGGCACGCTGCAGAACAAGTCAGCATTGCTTTCCGGCAGCCACTTTTTCCAATCATACAATATCATATCACGGAGCAGGTTTTAGGCATAAATAAAGTTCGATAATGTTAGTCAATAATTAGTTATCTATACATATAAAATCCAAATACCACTGACTCACTGATCGCTGTATCTCAAAAACTACTCAACGTACGGACTTGAAATTTGGAATACAGGTTCTTATTCTCATATTTTCACCGTGCAATAAGAAAGGATTTGCGAAAATTCGCATTTTAAATAGGTGCTCAAACAGGGACATTGAGATTCACGATGGAAATTGGAAATTTTATTTTTATTTATTAATAGTTGCCATTGGTTACAGTCTACAGTAGAAATTAGCATTTATTTATTGGTTGCCATTGGTTATTCGGGCAGATCAGGTACAAGCTTGCATCAAATCGAAATATTGAACATTGCCTACCAAGGTGGCTGAGTTGCACTTACCGCAGCAAGTTACACCCAAAAGGAGTTCAACAATCATAATTTTTTTAAGAGTTGCGATTTTTTACGAGCAACCAAATTTGTTATATTAATCCACCGTATTATATCAAAATAAACTTGGTATAACTTTGATACTTTAGAGTTAAATCATACACTTCCGTATAAACAGCACGGGGTCCGCGATCTACCGCAGGTAGATTGCCTATCTGATAATGTACTGCTGCGATTCAGAATTTTTATTAAGGGCAACGGAAAAGATAAGATAAATTTTGAACACCATACACCGAATATTGAATAACAAATTGAACAAAGTTTGAGTCATATTGAGTTGATACATTTATCGGGAGACGAAGTACACGGGGATCAGCTAGTACCTACCTAATATTATATAGACATACGGGTAACGGAATGACAAGTTGAACACTCGAACATTTCCAAATATTTACTATTATATATTTATATCTATATTTATTACTAGCCAACAATATTATAGTCTATCATTAAGTTTATAATCGCTATTAATATTTTTAGAAGTTGGATGGAAATTATGATTTTATGAACAAATGGTGATGTAGTTTAAATTTATATAAGTAATAAGTAGAATATGTAATATAATATGTTGTATAACATTTTTATTGCAAGAATAAATTGAAAAAAAATTAAAAACTCAATTTATGCATATATTAATTTTTTAATAAACACAAATGCCCTAATCTTGATGTTTTTTGAGGGAGGGTCATCCAAGGAAAGGGGTGGCAGAGTAAAAAACGAAAAAAACGAATATGGTAGATAATATGATGGATTGTTTTATGAATATAGTGAGGTAAAATGGTTTTTTTTTGTAATATTCTACTTTTTTCGAAGGTGTAGCTCTAAAACGGTTGTGAATTCGAAAAAAACATACGTTATAAAAGTTTTAGATAATTTCATGAGCTTTATTTTGTTATTTAAAAAAATTTTCCTCCGATGCACCGTTTACGAGATATAAGCGAAAAACCCAAAAAGCGCAACTTTAACCCCCCTCCCCCCCTCCGGCTCACCACCTAGGTGTCAGGACTTTTAGTATGTTAATACCTTAAGCCCCCCGAACAAGTTTCTGAAGGAATCGCTAAGTTACCTGCTCACGCACTCTACACCTCATTTTGGGTCATTCATTGACTGGACTAAATTGTGTCTGTTTTTTCTTTTTCCTGAGCTTGTCATTAGATTACTGATTCAGCTGTTTAAGTGTAGGTATAAAAAGGTAGTTAAAAGAAAAAATTGTTTAGCGCCTGTAAATTAAACCTTGCCAATTATTTCAATTATAAGTATTAATGCATATTTTACTAATCTCTAGAGGACCGAAGTTAATATAAACTATCGAGCCAAAATTGATGATTCGACTATCAAAAAAAGCTTTATAAGAATCCATTAAAAAATATAGTGGTTTCTATTTGAAAAAAAAAGTTGATTTTGCTATTGTTACACCTGCGTGTTTAAAAAAATTGAAATTGTTATAAAAAAATTGCCTGTTGAAAATAAAGAAACACATCTTTTTTTCTTTTTAACGAAATTCCATATCATTGTTCCATAATTGTTAAAAAAAACCCCTCGTACAATGACATAAGATACACCGGGTATAGTAATTGCGCCGAAATGTATTCGTCTATAGCAGTTTTTTTTAGTGACTGATAATCAGTTCTATTGCTCTAATGTCCGTACCTATGCATAATCAATTTATGTGTCACATAAGACATGTTAAACTAATAATATGT